GTGTGAACAGCGAGCTGCTGTTTTTATGGGGTAAATATTTTCCGGCAGACCTGGACTCTCTGCTCACTCACTGGACACAGGAATCCAGGGAAAAGCAGCCAAGAGAGGACATGGGAAACGGACAGAGGACATAAGAGCACAGCAGTGAGGGGCAGATTCACACACCAGCATGAGACTTATTGCTGGTTGTCATGGCAACACATGCTGCCAATTTCACACTCTAATTTGCAGTGATTTGATTGGCCAAAAATAGTTAGTGGGGGAAGATACGGACACACACCATCTATGAACATCAATCAGGACACATGTACACCTACACTTAGCTGCCTGTCAGATGCAGTATACTGAATGTGTTCTGCAGCACACTTGTTGCAGAACAATCTCTCCTGAGAAAACTGCTTTATAAATGCCATAAAGACACAACTGCCCACAGATTTCAGTTTTGTGTGTATTTGTATATCAGGTTTAAAGGTCATTTGGCGATCCAGGCATGTGTGCATTAGCCTGAAGGGGTTTATTTTGCAAAAATGACCAGCTGAATACAGTATATACATTATCCCACTTTTTTTTGTTTTTTTTTGCTGTTTAATTATCTTTACCACTTCATCACTTAAAGACATTCAACAGGCTTAATTCACCAAGAACTATCCAAGAGAAATTAAACATTGACAAGGAAACACTCCAGGAAGAGGTAAAGGAAATGCAGAATTAAAAGCAGAACATGTTTTGTAGATCCAAATATGCAGGTGGCCATTAGACCCAATTGTTTCTTTCATAAAAGAGGAATGAAGAGCTGAGAGATAGAAACATGGTTGATTGTACATATATAAGAATTAAATTAAGCATAGTATGGAGCTAAATGATTAAACATTTTGACTGAACTATGATTCAAATAAACAGTTTCTAAAGGAGTTTAAAGGAATAGTTCATCCAAAAATGAAAATTTGCTAAAAATGTGCTCACCATCTTTCAAGTTGTAGATGGGTTTGTTTCTTCATGGGAACAGATTTGGAGAAATTCAGCATTACATCACTTGCTCACCAATGGATGCTCTGCAGTGAATGGGTGCCGTCAGAATGAGAGTTCAAACAGCTGATAAAAACATCACAATAATCCACAAGCAATCCACACCACTCCAGTCCATCAGTTAATGTCTTGTGAAGTACAAACTGTGTTTGTAAGAAACAACTTACAAACCCATCATTAAGATGTTTTAACTTCAAACCATTGCGAGTCTATATATCCATAATATTGCTTTCTCCAGTCGTCTCGTCTGAATCAGGAGAGAAATCTGCACAGATCAAGCACTATTTATTTTAAGGTAAAACAGTTCTAAACAAATATGTCAGTGAATGTGAGAGGGGATGGACTTTTTATAGGAAGAGTTATTATGGATTATGGACTCATATTTTAGTCAGAAGTGATAGTTTGAAGTTAAAAACATGTCTTGTTGGATTTGTGTAAAGCCACGCAGCTTTTCACTTCACAAGACATTAACTGATGGACTGGAGTCGTGTGGATTATTGTGATGTTTTTATCAGCTGTTTGAACTCTCATTCTGACGGCACCCATTCACTGCAGAGCATCCATTGGTGAGCAAGTGATGTAATGCTACATTTCTCCACATCTCTTCCAATGAAGAAGTAAAGGGTAAATAAATACACTGAACAAAATTATAAACGCAACACTTTTGTTTTTGCCCCCATTTTTCATGAGCTGAACTCAAAGATCTAAGACGTTTTCTATGTACACAAAAGGCCTATTTCTCTCAAATATTGTTCACAAATCTGTCTAAATCTGTGTTAGTGAGCACTTCTCTGTCTAATCAGCATCTTGATATGCCACACCTGTGAGGTGGATGGATTATCTCGGCAAAGGAGAAGTGCTCACTAACACAGATTTAGACAGATTTGTGAACAATATTTGAGAGAAATAGGCCTTTTGTGTACATAGAAAAAGTCTCAGATCTTTGAGTTCAGCTCATGAAAAATGGGGGCAAAAACAAAAATGTTGTGTTTATAATTTTGTTCAATGTATATATATTTCATTTTGGGGTGAACTACTTTAAAATGTTTTGAAATAACTAGATATAAGATTACTTTTAAAGAAGTTGTTATAGTATTTTAATGTAACACAAACAGGCCACATTTTTATGGCTTTAAATTGTATACAGTTTATTAATTACAATATGTAATTCATATAGGCTCACTTAGCTACTGTTAGTAACTGTAGCTCATCACAGTTAGACTGCGTTATGGTGCTGCACTCTGCAGATGGCAGCATATGAGCGCACATCTCGTAGGCTGTAAAGTCTCGTGTGTTGCTCGGATCTGTGGTGTGCTCAGTCAGTGTAATCCCGTCTCTCCAGCCGGCAGACATGGCGACAGCGAGGACGCTCGTATGCTCCACAACAAGCTGCATCTGAAGCGGCTCCGCAGCATCACCGTCGCGCTCGGCGCATTCGTGGACAAACGCACACTTGCACACAGCGGATTTATAATCGGGGTAAACGTTTGGATTCTTCTTCTCATTCACAGTGGTGCTCTGTGCTTGGAAGAGATTAAGGGGTAAATCTAGCCACAGATTTGAGCCTGAGAACTGCCGTGACATTGCTGAAGCTCCGTACCGTTATATTTCCATTATGCACCGACGCGTTCTGCCAGGCTATTATGAGTCCACTTACTTGATGAAGACCAGTGCGAAAGGCATATCGAAATAACATATTCCTCTACAAGGACCTTGACATTAGACGTCAATTGACCTGTTCTGCGCTTTGTTCACTTACACCGCCTGTACGCGCACGACGCGACGCGATGGACGCTCCATTTCTATTTTCTGCTTTACTTCCCAGTCTGAAGGAAAATGAGTTATAAATATGGCATGTGTGCATTTAGTGTTAGCTGTTCTAAAATAAACAATGGAAAGTCGATTTAGAATTTAAATGGTTTTCATTCATTTCATTGCACCTGATTGAACGCTGTGAGGTGAGTTGACGTGCAGCCGCGACGCGACGCGTGTAGAACGCGCACTGAAAGAATAAAGCGCTTCATAGACGAGCCATTCTGAAATATTCCACGTTTCATTCATTTTAACGTTGAAAGACCACAAAAGCAGTCTATTTGAATTGTGGACTATGGAGGTTATCAAGGTAACAAAGGTGAATGAATTCAGGGAATAAGGTCCGTTTTGTGTTCCACGTATAAAAAAAGCCTATGAACTTCTCAGCGTTTGTTCTCAGCATTTGGTCTCTGTTTTCTTGATTAAACATTGCGGCTTTTTATAAAATCATAATTTTAGCTATCCTGGTGTGTTATGCATGTGGCATTTCATTTCCCAGCCAAACAAAAGACACCAGTGTCTGAAGATGTACTTGCATCACCATCAGTGCCGATGATTTTTCCAGGGCTTTTGGGGCATTTCAGAATGAATGGAATTTTTTAAACACTACTGGCGAAGCACTGGCTGTGTTTCTCATGGTGGATTTGTTTTTTGCTGGCACTGGTCTGATCTTTCACCCTCCCCCTCTGGATAACCCCTGAGAGCAGATCCACGCTTTATTGCTTCTCTCCAAGGTGTTTTATTGATAGTAGGCCTAGCCTATAAAACTAAACAGCCCAGTTTATATCAGAGGTCTACTTTTACAATGCACTTTGATTTATTTAAATCTACTTTTATAAACAGTGCAGATATTAATTATATTGTTCATGCACATGCACAACAGTGGAGAAACTAGTGACTAGACTCTATTAATAAAGTGCAATCTTTATTTATTTATTTATTTATTTATTTTTGTCTATCCTAAAATAAATTAATAAAACCTCTCTGGGCAGTAAATTGGCCTCGAGCACAAAAAGAAATAATATCATGCTTTGCTTTGTCATATTACTGTCAGGAAGACAAAAATACAGTTATTTCCTGGTGTTTCTTTTTTATACAGGGATATATGAGCACAAACCAGTGAATATCTTGAAGAGATAGATATCCGTTTGGAAGGTTTTTTTGTAGATCGCTTAGATACATGTTATTGCGTATGAGAAGTGCAGGTCGCATATGGTCATCTGATCCACAGAGATCAGTGTTTGTTGTTTCATATTTTCCTCTGACTGCACCCTCTGTCAGTCTCTCAGCCCCTTTTCCTCCCCTCTGTTTCTCATGTTGACCCTTGGTTTAGAAGTAATGACATCAGTGCTCTGGCATGTGTGATAAACAGTGAAAATGATGGAGGAGAGCACAAAAACATCAGAACAAAAAGACTGTAATTTTAAGCTTCACATAACTGACATGTCAAGAACCGTCAGTGTAAATACGCAACTTCTTCATTTTCATATGTGCATTGAGTAATTATTACTATCCTTGTGGGACATTTGGCACAGACAAAACCTGATCATACACACACAGTGTTAGTCAGAGTGTGATTTGTGTGTGTGTTGTGTGCAGGCTGAGCCAGGAAGACCATGGTGGAACAGGGCCAAACGTCGTTGGCGGGACAGAGGTTAGGGGCACCAGAGACTCTGGGGATCAGCACCCTAGAGCCCGGACACAAACCACCTGCTATGCCACCTGGACGCCTGGTGCCCATCAGAGTCGTGCTGCTGGATGACTCAGAGGAGATATTCAACATATCGGTGAGTTCATATCCAATAAAACTCTGCTGTTGTGTTTAAAAAAAACAGACTCTTCTTGGTGGACATATAAGGCCTTTCAGACCAACATGAATGATCGGTACGATTTTGGCATGCGATTTGTCTGATATACTCAGAGTGAAGTTCTTTTTCCTTATTTAGGGGGAAAAAAGAAGTTCAAAATAATTTACAGTGATATACTGTTAGCGAACGTCCTGATGCCATCCACGCTGCTGAGAGCAGCGTATGTAAATATGCACTGCACGCTTTCCACTCAATAACACTACGAATACACGACAAAAGTGACAGGGGTGAGAAAGCAGCAGTTAATAAAGCATCTGATCGTAGCCTTGCACCAGCTCTGCAATTTTCATGTTACAAGTCATGTTTATTTATATAGCGCTTTATACAATATATTGCTTTAAAGAAAGCTGCTTTACAATATTAAACATGAGTAAAATAGTATCAGTGTCACTTTAAATTAGAATTACATCTTCAGTTTCTATTATAAGGGAATAGTTCCATGTCAAAGAAGGTGGAGCCGTAGAGCCACACCTACCTATTACATCATCGCCACGGACCAATGGTAGTTTGCCAGCCAGAGTGAACTTTTCTGCAAAGTTTCGTACTCCCAAAACAAACTCCAAACAAACATTGTTTCGGTCTAATTTTGGTCAAAATTAAGTCACATCAGTTCATTCTTCGATTTCACTTCAGGTATATCAGGGACTTAATGTGTAAAAAATGGCAGAATGGCTAAATAAACTGTGGAATGTATTGGCTTTGAAAATGTTTCATTGCTTTCATCCATAGAGCAAGCTGAGGTTTTTGACATAATATTTAAAAAATAGTTGGTCCTCAAATTTTTGTTTCAATAGCAGATGTCAACAAAAGAAAGAATGGGCCTTAATGGTGGGATTTTTTTTTTACTATTCATACCTGAAACCAAAAAGGCAGAGACACTGATTGCAGTCTGTCATGGAGAACATGCTGGCACTTGAGCTGATTGGAGGAATATTTGTCATTTTCATAATAGAAACATTCTGAAGCATCTCTACTGAACATGATTGTGATTATTAATAGAGTTTGTTGAGCTGGTTTTATTAGCTGCAGGTGTGAGTGAGACTGATTTGTGAAGGAATGTGAGAGTGTTTCATGAAGGTGTTTAGCTATTCTGTGGATAAATATAGAGCATGCCTGTGCAAACCAAATCTAAAATTATATGTTATTTTTTTCTTGTAACCTGCAACACTGCAGGACTGTGAAACCACAGAGAGCTGATAGGTATTGTCCTAAGGTTTGCTTGGCTGGGGTTCAGCTGCTCTGGGTTCAACACTCACACTCACACACACACACACACACACACACACACACACACACACACACACACAGATCTCATGTTGCAATGCACATCTGAGTGCTGAACATGAGGTGTGAGAAATGTTTTCTGGTGAATTGGAAGATGTAATTTGTGATCAGTAAAATGTGATAATTTCTTAAGAAAATCAGGTATTGTTACTTTGAGTTTGAGGTATTAGGCAGATAAATAAAACAAATTCTGGAGATTTTCTGGACACAGCAACACTTCACTTTCCAACCCTCTTGATTTTGTAGATTTTGACGTAATATTTTTGGGTCAGTAAGATATTTTTATGTTTTTGAACATAGTCTCTTATGCTCACTGTAGCTGCATTTATTTGATCAAAAATACAACAAACACAGTAATACTATGAAATAATATAGTATTTTAAAATAACTGCAATCTATTCAGTATATTTTAAAATACTGTTCATGTGATATCAAAGCTAAATTTTCAAAAACTGTAATACTTTTTTTTTTCAGTATTTAATGTAATTTAATGCATTCTTGCTGAATAAAAAAAGCATTAATATTATTTTTACAGTCAGTAAAAATCTTACTGAGTCCACAGTTTTGAACGGTAGTGTATGTGATGTGGGTTTTGATGTATCTAGATTTCAGGTATGCTTGCCTATACAAAAATGCATGGCAGCCATGGAATTCTAATGGAAGGCAATGAGTTTTACACTGCAGGTTGATGAGTTGCGTTTTAATATGGCTCTGGTCATAGAGCTTTTTAGATGAATGCCGAGGCTTTTTAGGTCGGGTAGAATCTGCGATCTCTGGCCCAGTTCATTCGCTGCCTTTCGTGGCTTCAATACGCTGAGTTTTCCCCCATCTGGCAACCCGGGGTGTTGAAATTCTATTGGGTAAACTGGCAGTGGGCGGAGTCACACAGAGCAAAACAAAAACAGACATTTTGACACGGAACACACATTTCAAAGTAGAATAACTGGCTTGCAGTATTGCTTTTTGGAGAAACAAGTGTGAACCTAGCATGTTTCCTAAATATCTGCAAACATATTATGGCATTTTTATGCTTTAGTACAGTCAAAAATTACATAAAGTACCGTGTTTTGGCTGTTTAATAGTAATGACTGCCATATACTGTCTTGTGCGTGACGTTTTTTGCTCAGTCATTGTGCCAGTGAGATTCTTTTTTTTTATTAATTTTCAAACAGTAAACCATCAAGCCTGGCAAATAAAAATAAGCACTGCTGGTTTCAGAGTAAAGCGCAGCATTGTTTGTCCATTTACACTCATGCAAATATCTTAAATGAACCAAGTTATTCTCGTCAAAACAGTGTATTGTGAATTGTATTATTTCATCTTTACCTCAGCACTGAAAAAGATAAATCAGGTCACTGACACACATCCACACAAACTTCCAGTGTCTCTTCTTATGGACCTTTATCTCGCTGGTGAGGAGCTACACATTTTAGATGTGAAACTAGGATATCTTGCCAACAAATACAACCCTATTCATACACTCACACGTAGGTGAGAGAAAATCTTAAAGAAACAGCTGTCAGAAAAGCACTTTTAGGGCCAGATTTACTAACAGCTTGCACCAGCGCAAACCGTCTTTTGGTGTTAAAATAGTACTGTCATGTTTTACTAAAGACACGCTGAATTAGATGAAAAAATTAGCGCTGAAAAGGCGTGGACAGTTATTTTTGCGCTTGACCTTATTGAATATGCATTTGTAGGAGTTTCCCTTTCAGACGCAAAATTTATGGGAGGAGAGTATTCAAATGAACCACGCAACGCAATTTACTATCGTTTGCGCTCGTCACATTACTGGCATTTGCGCCATTATTTAACGCCCAAATAAAGCATGTCTTAAACTATTTTAAGTTTAAGACATGGACAGCATCTGTGCGTGTGTACATATTATGGCATTTTTATGCTTTAGTACAGTCAAAAATTACATAAAGTACCGTGTTTTGGCTGTTTAATAGTAATGACTGCCATATACTGTCTTGTGCGTGACGTTTTTTGCTCAGTCATTGTGCCAGTGAGATTCCCAGCATGAAGGATCACCCTTGACTAAAGTGTGTGTTGATGATTGATCATGTGTGCTGTGTTTGTGTAAGAGCTCAAGCTCTCTGTCTGAGTGAAGAGGATAAAGTCCCTGAAGAGGGTGTTATTCTGACTCGATTAATATGTCAGTTAATGTAATGATGAACTGAATAAACACTGGTCTGAGTCATAATCACTGACACATCATACTGACTCCATTAGTATCAGTATGTGGTCTTTCTGTCTCTCTCTCGTTCTATCCTTCTTTTTCTCTTTTTGCAATATACATTGTGATAAATTGTGATTTTTGATACGTATTGTATCACCCGATTCATGCCAATACACAGCCCTAGTTTTCTTAGACCTGTTTTGGACCAATATGACTTCAAAATAAGAATAACTGTCAATATTTTATTGAGAGTATTGATGAGATTATTGTGGTATTACTGAAAATAAGGAAATATTTTGTAATTATACTGGAAAATGCTGAAAATAAAAAATCAAATTATATA